GGTGGGGGATGAGGGGGGATTTTTTTATGGAGGGAAATTTTTGGGAGTGAATGGTTGCTTGCATTGTCGCTAATATGTTGTTTAAGGTTAATGAACTGTACGTGAAAAATGTTTATTTATTGTATTAATTTTTGATTTTATTATAAAATTAAAAAATATTTATATTTTTTGAATTAAGCTATTTGTAACTAGCACAAAAAATTATGAATTTAGTGGACAGGGGACGAAAGGTCCATAAAAATTTTAATTTTTTGAGTGAATTTTTATTTTATTAATAAATTATCTAACTATATATAATATGAGTAATCTATAATGACGATAAATAGCCTACAAACTTAACCCTAAACAATGGTATTTAGTTCCTATGTTGAAGGTATATATATTTCAACCTCAACGCATTCATCGGTTTAAATCCTGAAAGTGCATTCCGTGTATGCGTACATACTACTTCTACCTTTCTACTTATCCTTTTATCTAAATTATATTTAATTTCTTTCACTTTCATCATACCATTCTCTGCCCAGACAAAAGCATTCCTCGGCCCCTTGTGGACGACGATGACGGGGGCGACGTGAGCGCTGTCATGGCTGGGCGACACGGGCGACACGGCGAGAAAAGGGCGGCAGAGAAAAAGGAATTAAACGAAGAAAAGAATATGAGAAGCGCTGACGCTTTGATAACTGATGGAATAGCAGGAGGGAAAGATGGAAGAGGGGAAGTGTTACAAGGGAACCCACTACTCCCCTCGGGGAGTGAGGTCACCCCGTCCCCCTGCCCACGACTTGCCCTCCGCCGGCTGCGTAAGAGGGCTAAAGCCCTCATCCTCCCCCGACGGAGGAAACAGAAAAATCCCTCTTCCCCAGCGGATTCTTCACCCGTGGCCTCTGCTGCCATGGCCTCTGCTCCCATTGCCTCTGCACCCATGGCGTCTACACCCATGGCCTCTTCACCACTAGCTTATACACCAATGGCCCCTCCGCCAATGGCCTCTGCACCCATGGCCTCCACATCCATGGCCTCTTCCCCAATCGCCTCATCGCCCATCGGCTCTTCAGCCATGGCCTCTTCACGCTCCGGCTTTTCCCCTTCGGCCTCTCCCCCCTCATCCCCCTCACTGGATGGGCAGCCCCAGCCTGGGGACGCGGGTGACCCCACAGAGTTGGTCCCCGCGGATCTGCCCCCCGGGATGAGGCTGGAATGGGTCACCCGGAACGGTATTCCCATCAACGATTCCCGGTGGACGGTTTTGCCCAACGGCTCCCTCAGCATCAGCAGCGTGAGTGACAGGATTCTGGTCATGATTCCGGATCATTTTTTTTTTAATTAATAGCCGCAGAATTCCGGGTTATTTTCCTTAACAAAATTCCTGTCAGGATCCTGCATATTTACATAATCTTCCTTGACAGAATCCCGATTAGGATTCTTGAATATTTTTCTATCAGAATCCTGCTCATTCTCCCCGAATATATATTATTAAATTTTTAAGAAGTTCATAACCATTAAGGTGAAGTAATTAATCAGGATAAACGCTCATCAGGATAGAGGGATTGATCAGGATAATAAGTTCAAGCGGTACAATGTAAATTATATTCAAATAAATTGAGTTTATATTAAATTAACAAAATAATTGACACGAATATGATAATCAATGAATAATTACATGATGAAAAAATAACTAAATACAATTTCATTCTCAGGTTAACGAAAGCGATGCTGGAGCCTACCGATGCAGGCTTGTTGCTGAAGCTAACAGCTTGCTGTCACATACCGTTGTTATCTCCATAGCAGGTGTGTTGTTATCTCCATTGCAGGTGTGTTATCTCCATAGCAGGTGTGTTGTTATCTCCATAGCAGGTGTGTTGTTATCTCCATAGCAGGTGTGTTGTTATCTCCATAGCAGGTGTGTTGTTATCTCCATAGCAGGTGTGTGGTTATCTCCATAGCGGGTGTGTGGTTATCTCTATTTTAATATTAATGATCTTCAAATATTCTACAGGAGTTTTTATACAAGGGCACACAAATTATTCAATGCAGGTAGATGTACAGTATATACAATATTTACTGTATATATACACTGTATATACAGTATATGATGTACATCATACATATATGCTTATTATATGCTTAAGCATATACTGTACATCATACAGTATATGCTTATTTTTTTCGTTCCAGAAAAAAAGTATTTTAATGTCGGTGTGCGGATCTCCACAAAACACAAAAAGCGAGTGCATGGAAATGCACGCATGCATTTAGACATACACTTTTTAAACTAATAATATTTTTCCGATTTTAGACGATTTATGAGTCTTTTTCGTACAAAATCCGTAATGGACGCCGTTGGTTGGCCGCCCAAAGGCCTGAGATTGCTAAAGAACTTTACTAATATCATTAGTTTGCTGAAATCGAAAGTTCAGTAAAAATTTCAGAGCAAAGAAAACGTCACGTAAATTCGCCACATCTTCATAAGCACGTATCAGAGACCAGCTCCACCAGTCAGTTCAAAAAAAAACTTGGAAAATAAGAGTACAGTTATTAGTGAAAATCCAAATATATACGAAAAATATTAAAACCTAAGGGACGAGATAACGGCGAAAGAACAGAAAACCTATCGATTTAAGTTCAATGGGAAAAGAACTGTACGTGTTATTGAGACAAGGTTTCCGTTTAAAAAATGACGCGATGTTAAAATCATTAGATCCGAACCACCTGAGGCGGCACCGAGTATCGTAAAATCGCTCTTAGAAGAAGTCACGTCGCACTGTTCAGCGTGAAGGCACCAACAGAGTGAGAAGAGTTAGAGAGTGGCAGGTTCGAACGAAAGCTTCTGCCGCAGTGTTCAGTAACCTGGGGCCATACTCTCAAAACTCGCTAAGTGAACGTAAGTACTTACGCTCTATTTTCTTGTCGATGATTGGTGGATTTTGTTTGAAAGGCCGTCAATGATTGGCTGATGAGCTTACGATCTCTTACCTTTTTTTGAAAGTATAGGCCCCGGATGTTGAAGTAACGTGACGTTATTCCTACGTACGCTGATGCGCATCACGCACAACTGTCTTTTAGACCCAATTAGACCGCTTCGGGACAGGAACTACGTCATTGTATATAAATTATGAACCGATATTGAAATTATTCCATGGTTAAACATGCAAGTTAATAATCGGAAAATATTTTAGAAATAAGCTTTCCAGTTGGCGGGAAATTGTTTCAGATGAGCTACCAAAGAATGGCAAAGCACATTACATAGTTTTCCTAGTATCAAACTCAATAATAGATGCAGAAAATCTTTTAGTCGAAAATTGTTTCATTTTACTGAATACAAGGCATGAAGGAAACCTATTCGGCTGAAATATTTTACGGATTATTTCGAATTCCGAATGCGATCAAAGTTTGAAGACTATTCAATTTAAAACGAAATTAACAAAAGCTAAAGAAACTCGTACTCAAGACGGTAAGTAGACGGAAGTCTGAACGTAAACTTTAGATTTAGTAACAATACAATCAAGAAACGACAAACTACTTTGGGTTTCCATCTCCATAGTAAATTTTATCGATGAATGTTGCAGAATGAGATAATCAAAGAAAAGGCTCACATGAATGGGTTGCTTGAAGGAAAGATGTCATCAACATACCCATTGTACAAAATCGGCTCAATATCAATAGGACAATCAGCCAGCCATGAAACTTCGTGAATGCACATGAAATTATTAGCGGAAAGAGGACAAAGAGGAAGGCTTGTCTCAAGACCATCGTTTAGTTCATATAGTTTACCAATAAAAATAAAAAAAGCTTCTTTAACCGATGTCTAAAGAAGCTCTATGGATAGGCTGCGGTACATATGAATGACTGGTCAATGTGAATTCACGTGAATGTGAAAGCCCAAGTCAATCACCTGACCAATGACATTTTATTTTTTTCAAACTCTAGAACTTAACAGTAACATTGGTCAGCAATTAGCCTTAAATAAATTCAGTATTTATTATTTAACTTTAGATCAATTTATTACTGATTAGTTTGCATTAAAAAATTATTAATTGCCTTAATTTAACACATTATTGATGAGTCGGCCTTAAATGAAAACAATACTGATTATTTATACTTGATATGGTACATCAATTATTATTTAAGCTTATTTAGTTCATTATTGATTAATAACCCACAATAAATTATATTAATGCATTCACTAAGAAGAATTAGTGAAATATTATTTAATTAGCCTTTATAAGCTACAATAATGATTTATAATAATAATAATGATATTTGTCCAGGTGTGCTGTTGTTATCTTTATCTTCGAATCTTATGAGCGATCACAGCAAACTTATCGTTTTTGCGTCTTCGAAAAAATTCATCTATCAGTCTAATTTGAAACCTTGCAAGGTTATCGTTTAGCTTTCGGCGTCCAAGACTGATTTATCATTAATCATTATAGACGTCCACGACAAATTTATCGTTAACCATCATTGACGTCCACGACAAATTTATCGTTAACCATCATTGACGTCCACGACAAATTTATCGTTAACCATCATTGACGTCCACGACAAATTTATCGACAAGCCAGTTTATACAATCAATGGCAGTGGCAAGCCAGTTGATACAATCAATGGCAGTGGCAAGCCAGTTGATATACGTAATCAATGGCAGTGGCAAGCCAGTTGATATACGTAATCAATGGCAGTGGCATGCGAGTTAACCCCCTGAATGACAAGCCAGTTAAAAGCAAGTCTGGAATTAAAAATAGAACAGTTATGTCTGTTAGATATTTTGTTCTTCGGATGTCATGAGGCCGAATTTCCGAAGAAGTCAAAACCCTGCGCTCACTCACTGAGCGCTATTGAATGGCCATAAAGGAATTTCCATTGCAGGTGTCCTTTTTAAGAACAAAATTAAGGGTGCAGCCTGTTCGAAGCCTCTCGGTTTTCAATCAGGGCCTTAATGCGTTTCTGCCTGTTTTATGAAAATAAAATTAAATTTTTTGAGTAAAACAAACGATCGTATAATGGCTGAGCAAATCAATACAGTACGATTCCCGTTTCAAGAATAATATGATAATAATTTAATAGGATAATACATGCCCGTTTTATGGTAATACAAAGCTTGTTTAGAGGTGGCGGGAAATTTCAACGTAATACAATAGCCTGTTTTAGGCTAATACTTGATCCGGTTTTTAAGTAATATTAAGGCTTCTAGATAAATACCAGCTATGTTTTAGTTAATACAAAAGCGAGTTCTTATCTAATACGTTAGTTCGGGGCGGGAAAATGTAAAGCCTGTTGTACGGGGATGCACAATTCAATTGAAGATAATACTAAGCAGGTTATTTAGGGTAATAGGGGAGTCTAATTAATTTCAAGATAATAGTTGAAAATTTACATCTTACACAAGCTTTTTAGGGTAATGCAAGTCCCCCTTTACAGCAATACTGGCTGGCGGTGCAAGAGCCCCCCGTGATCTACCAAAGTTCCTTGTCGTGGTCACTCCCCAATGGGGCGTCATACCACACCCTCACGTGCGTGGGGAAGGCCGTCCTCAACCTCGAGGTTCAGTGGTACAAGAACGGCGCGAGGATCTGCCATGACGGCCACTACCTCATCGACACAGATATCCCCAAGAACGGGCTGGTCAGCTCCAAGCTTATGATCATGTACATCAC